CCCCCCCCCCCCCCCCCCCCCCCCCCCCCCCCCCCCCCACCGCCAAATTTTTCTTCGGGCTATGTTTGTCAGGGATGTGGTCGAAGGTAAGGTTTAGGATTGCAATTTTTTTTTTCGGGGGGCCCTCGAAAATTTAGGAATTTGCACCCCCCCTTGAGCGCCAGGGGGGGGGGTCCATCCCCCAAATAAACTAAAAATCACGTGCTTTTACACGTTCCCCCCCCCCCCCTCCTGGATCGGCCACTGGCTACATCATTGTGTCCAGGGTTGAAATTTGGAATTCGACGAGAGTAGGAAATACGAGTGTCTGGGAACGAATAAAGATTGGCATATGCCTCCATGAAATATAATAAACAATATTTTAAGGACAGATATATACATAAACAGAGAGGGAGGGTGCGTTAGAGAGGTTGAGAGTGGAGGAAGTGAGATAGAGAGAGAGAGAGAGAGGGGGGAGGGTGTGAGGGGGAGAGAGGGGAAGGGACAGAAACAGAGAGAGAGTGAGAGAGAGAGAGGGGGAGGGGAGACATATACAGAGACAGAGAGACAGGGAGAGAGAGAGAGAGAGACATAGAGAGACAGAGAGAGACAGAAATAGAGATTGGGAGAGCTACATATAGAAGTAAGATAACAATTATATTAATGTTTTTTTTTCAATTTATTTATTCCATTTGTTTTATTTCATTCAATCTGTTCATTACAATATGTAAGCGCCTAGAGCATCATCTGGTGAATATGTTGGGCAATTAAAATTTCTGCATCATTATAATCATTGATATTCCTTACTTACATGAAAGAATTAATTTAAAATGTACAGTGATCGTTATTCACGAATAAAGACATGTTGTATAGGCATCTTCATTTATTCATATCAACTGTCAGCTTGCATCGGCATTATTTAAGCATGTAAGGATCAGACACATATTAAAGGTATTGGTTTGATTTCCGTTTCAAGCATATACATGCTAAATTTCGACATGAAATAATGCGATGAATTTGTACAGTAATAAAAAATGAAGACAATATGGAATATGAATAACAGATCATTTTTTAAATTTTATAATTGATAAGTTTTTATTAATCCAATAACATTTTTACATTCAACATAAACATAATACAAATATACAGACATTTATATCCATGTAACAACGATAAATCAAAGAAGAAATCGATTGGATCTATTGTAAATAGAATAGAAAACATCAGCGATCGTCAAAATTCCCCCTCCTAGAACAAAAAGGAATTCTGTCAGCGTTCTATAATCTGCTAAACTGGTTAAATAGGACTATTTTCTAAAATTCCGGAAATTAAGTGCCATTTTTCATTGTGCTTATCTATTTCGTTGCGTCTTTCAACAATAAACCTTTCTACCGTCTGAAAATATTTAACATAATGTACAAAATGATGAACGTTGGGCATTGTTTTTGTAATCCTACAGCTAAAGATATATTGTTGTCCTATGTAACAAAAACAGGAAATTAATGTCGAAAATGTTTTTTACTTTGACAAGCTTAGTCAGCCCAAGCAGGAATTTTTTAGTTGACAAATCGAGGGGTGAGAGAGTTCCGAAAAAGCTCTGCTTAGGCGTAATCAAAACTGTTCTATAACTCTACATGAAACAAAAAGGTGTTCGAGATTTTCATCATTATTACAAAAGTAGCAAGCTGCATTTCCAATTTTGTTAATACGAACCAAAGAGATCATTTTAATTGATCCACACGAGTATTGTCATTGGTAGATATTGGAGTACAGAACCTGAATAAGTGTCAGATACCTTACAGAAGTTCCACTTAAATATTTAAGGTATACATTTAACAAAGTAGACCAAAACAGAAATGTTTGAATTAAGTATGAATTGAATTCGAATTTAATGATTCATCCGTCATACAACAGAAATTCTTTTTCTATTTGTTTAACAATAACACAGATCATGTCACAGCAGAATTATACATAACAAATTAGTGTACAATGACAAATATACATTACGAAATCACAAAAACAAAAGAAGATACAAAATAGCTTGTAATTATGAGGAATTTATTTATTATTTAATTCACTAATAAGCATTCATTTTTTCTTTAAAACAATAATTCAAATACTTTTTCAAACATAATATACGATAACAATTTTTCCATAAACATTAATTATATCATCTTGCTTCATACACAATAATCGTTTAAAACGTTATCATTAAATTACCTAGCTTAAATAATAATTTCATTAATATGTACAAAATTACATAATGTAGACCTTACAGTTATTAATACATAAGAGAAAGAATTGGATATTATTTGAGATTTAACATTATTTACTAATTTTCTTAAGAATACGTGCCAGGTTCGTGCCCCCCCCCCTCCTTCCCCTTTCGCTAGGAAAGTCTCTTCAAATTGAATAGTATCAATCTTCAACCTAACCCTTACAACAGTATCGAAAAGTACTGGACTAGATATGATACCAGCCAGATTTTTAAAAGATGGGGCGATAAATTTGTATGAACCTTTGAATTATATAATCAATTTATCTCTTATGTCTTCTACCTTTCCTGACGACATGAAAATTGCAAAAGTAACACCGCTACATAAAAAGAAAGACAAAACTGACGTTGGTAATTATAGGCCTATCAGTGTTTTAAGTGTAGTTTCAAAAATTTTGGAAAAATCGGTTCATGCTCAAATAGAGAAATATTTTCAAGAAAAAAAGTTAATATATGAATTTCAGTCCGGCTTTCGTAACGGATATTCCACTGAAACATGTTTAATACATTTATCGGATTTTGTTAGGAATGAAGTTTCTCAAGGGCGCTTTGTTGGAATGGTTCTTCTGGACTTACAAAAAACCTTTGATACTGTAAATCATAACATACTGTTAAAGAAATTGGAAGTGATGGGTTTGGATTCGGCATGTGTTAAATGGTTTAGATCATATTTAACTAATCGTCATCAAGTGGTAACTATGCAGAAGGTAATATCTGATTCCCAGCCTATTAAATGCGGGGTTCCACAAGGGAGCATTTTAGGCCCCATTCTCTTTATGTGTTATATTAATGATATGTGTACTTGTGTTAATGATTCTAAATTACTTTTATATGCTGACGATAGTGTGTTACTATATTCAGATACAAATCCTAAGTCAATTGAAGAAAAACTAAGTGCAGAATTGGCAAAATGCATCGAATGGATGACAGACAACAAGCTTAGTTTACATGTTGGAAAAACAGAAAGTATTTTATTTTGTTCGAAGGGAAAGTTTAAATATACACGTGACTTCAAGGTTACCTATAATAATCAAGTGATTGAGAGTAAAGATTCAGTAAAATATTTAGGAATAAATTTAACTAGTGATCTGTCATGGACAGGTTTGGTAGATTCAATTGCCAAAAAGGCTAATTCTCGCTTAAAATTTTTGTATAGATACCAAACTTGTATGAACATGAAGTCGAGACGTATTTTGTGTTTTGCTTTAATACAATGTTTATTTGATTATGCTAATGCTGCTTGGTACAGTAGTCTGGGCAAGATGGATAAGAAAAAGTTAAGAATAATTCAGAATAAGATGGTAAGATTTATTAATTGCTTAGGCCCAAGAACACACGTCGGGAAAATGAACTTGAAGAAGCAGGTATACTCTATGTAGGTCAAAGGTCTAAACAACTCGTGTTACACCATGTCCATAAAATATACTACTCAGATGTAGATCATTATATTACTAATAATTTTACTCGTGTCTCAAATATCCATGGATACGATACAAGAAATAGTCATTTTAATTTTGTTTTACCCAAGCGAAAAGGACAAATTGGAAACTCTTTTCATTTTAATGGTATCCAATTTTGGAATTCTCTCCCAAAACATGTCAAAATAGTTAAGAATTTTTCACACTTTAAAAGTGTATTAAAACAATACCTAGAGCATGAATCCCTTCAGGAACAGTAATATCAGTTATCTTAAATCACAGTTCATTATGTGTAGCGCATGTTTTTAAGTTTAATCTTGCATAATATACCGTAGATCATTGTTTGCTATAAGTTCTAGAAATTTTTGTTGTTGTTTATGTTATATTATTTATTCGTAATATTCGTAGTAGTTATTAGTTGTGATATTTTATTCTCATGCCGTACTGTACACGTACTTTATAGGACCCCGTTGGAAATAAGCCGTTTCCGGCTTTCATGGGTTATCCTGTCAATGTATCTTCTCGTTTCATTTTGCTTTATGTATCCATTCATTGTACTATACTTGACGAATAAAATCAATCAATCAATCAACCTTTGACCCACCGCCCCCCCCCCCCTCCCCATCCCCGCTCTAAAGGCATTATGTACATCATGTAGATAAAGATTTAATAAGACATATAAATATGAAGGGAACTGTCGATGGTGGATAAAAAGTGTGTACAAGTTTATTCACAAAGTGCTTGATTTGGCAAGATGGGTTATTTGTCACGCAGGATGTTATTAGCTGCATCAAGATACATGTACACAAAATGGTAATTTGAACAAAACTCATGATTCCGTTTGTATTACTGTAAAGCAGATTTTAACATGAATAAACGCATTATATGAATGCATTATTATCAATTTAAAGAAACTATGTCCCTTTTGCAGCCAACCACAAATTCTGTAAAACTTTGCAGGAATTATGAATATGTCATGTATGTCCTATCTATGAAATTTAAAAATTAGCAGTGTCCTAATATTCAAATTATGCAAGGAAACCCGTTTACTTGCTAGACTTCACTGTCAGACACTGGCTTTTTCTTCTTCTTTGGTAATAACATACATAAAATGAGCTGTAAAGGATTTGTCTACATCGATAACACACCTGTTTTAATGGCCAAAATTAAACTGATTGAATCTTTGCGCAGCATAAAACGTACAACCCTGCGGTACAATGGTCTGAAAATTCCTTATTGGCTCTTTAGCTCCTAAGTCGATTTGACAACTAATAGTCGTTATTTTCCCACTTAAAGACATTTTCAAGCCCCATTTGTTTAAGGGGAGTTCTAAATTAGTATTATCTTTCAAATGCCATTGGAATTTAACCTTTTCATTTTTTTGGCCTGCAAAAGGGACATAGTATCTTTAAGGGGAAATCAACTTTGACACCAATCTGATGAAGGGGAAGAAACATAAATTAATTTACAATTCTGTGATTTACCATCATTCGAGAGCCTTTCCCTTTTGTTCTGCAGTATATGCGAAATACATTTCACAGAAAATTTGTCATCAGACCTAGCTCTGAATACATAGTTTGACACATATTCACACATATATTCACATTTAATCGAATTATTCTCATGCTTGTAAATTTGTTGTAGTTTAATATGTCAACATTTAATGAGAACCTGGGTTGTTGATACTGAGGCAAAAAGCGCCAGCTCCCCTCCCCTTCCTAAATATTCCTGTACGCTTATGACTAAAACCATCTTAGAAAGCATATCGTTAATGTACTTCGGTAGACTTAACATAGGAAATATTAAAATTCTAAAGTTTTGCGTACAATCTTTCTTTTAATTAAAGATCTCACACACGGATCTGCGATGGGCCTTACAAGTGACATCGTTCCAGTTATTAGTCACACTGAAAAAACTCTTCAGAAGACAGCTGTCGGATCGATAATCTTCGTTTGGTTCCGTACTGGCCCAGTCTAAAGACAAACACACAAACAAACAAATAACTATATGAATAGATACAAAAATGAATAAATCAATAAAAAAACAAAAGATTTTTAAGTCGTCACGAATAATTAAGGTTACTAAGTCCAAGCTACTTTGTCCCATACGATACCGAACACATCTAAGATGTCATTGTATCGGATGACTGTATCATACCGATAGCCTACTAAAGTTTGAATCAGACGAAACATCAGATACAATCATATTTTTATGTTATATGTTATAAGTTATATTCACAACTCCATAATATGATTCTAATTAAGTTCTATCATCAAAAAAGTAGTACCATATGAAAGAAGACAACAGAAACCTCCATATTTGATAAACAAGATGTTGCCGGGTTGTCGCGTTTCGTTCTAACAAACAAAAATACCCTTGCAGGTTTTAAACAAATGTGAAAATAGGAACATTTATTCCTGACCCTCAGACGTGAACCAAACCTTTAAGGTAGCCCTCCTGTCATCTCTGTTTTATCTTAGGGCAATGGTGCTTTCGTTAGATGTAACATGTTGCGTGATATAGTAGTAGAATAGCGAGTTACAATGTCACGGGGATTTCTCCACACTCCATATTATACACATTGTGCGCTAGGAATAAAGCTTTGGAGGTAAGATTTCAAAAATCCAAACTGTCTTTAAACAGAGCTATAAATAAATAACATATATTCTTCGACAGGTGTCAATAATGATATGATTTCATGGCATTTATTTATGTTCGTTTCTTTCTATGTGTTCTTTCTGTGTTTTCGGGTGTGGCTCTTTTCTACTCTCATTGTTCTCAGTAGGGCACATGTAAATGTCGCAGCTGCAATCATAACTTAATTATAGATAATTAAACAAATGCATAAATGAATGAATGAACGTATAAATAAAATGATAAATCAGTAGATAAATAAATGAATAATTTGATGAATGAACAAAACAATATTTTGAACAATTACTTAGTTAATGTATTACTTGAACCATGGACCTATTACGGATGGATATTCATCGTCTTCTTAACGAATTCATTGTGATTGTCTCCGTCAATGTCGTCTCAATAACATTCCGTGCATATTTCTTCACTTTGATCTCATGATGTTCACCGCCAAAAAGCCGGGACAGAATCAAGATAGTGATTTTACACATGTTAATCTACATGCGCAGAAGATAATAACTCGCCTAAATCATGGAAAATAGATGTGCAGTTCTGGCTTATAATCGGAAATTGTTGTTCCGTGTACTGTACATGTATTTTATTTTGAAAAACATGTTAATATTACCAGATAGAGGTTATTTTTGGATTTTTTGGTTGTGATTTAAAATCCCGTTTCCCCCTATTTCCTCATAATATTCCAGAGATACAACGCACAGGGCTCATACAGACCATGGCCTTCTGATTGTTTTATAAGGTCATAGGTGTGTGCGAAATTTTGCGAATCAGTAATAATACATTTGATATTACCAAAATCGTCTGCTTTTCAACTTTGCTGCTCCCCATTGGGGATGCTTTCATTTAAGACACACTCTTACAGAGCACACCATCCAAACATAACCCAAGCGAGGGAAACTGCTCCTTTGTCAATGACCGAAAATGCTTACGCAGTCGTTATTGTTAAAACAGCTGAATGTTCTCATTAAGATGCACATAATCAGAAGGCGGCGACTATCATTGGATCAAAGAAAGAATCACGTTGAATGTCCATCCGTAATAGGCAGGGGCGTAAATCCGTACCGAGGAGTGGGGGGGGGGGGGATGATCGGCGATAGCCATCACATACTAGCACGAGTACACGCCCACACTAATTTACGCAAGCGCGCGCGATTGCGCATGCACAAACACACAACACACACACACACACACACACGCGCGCGCGCTCGCACACACGTACACACACACACACACACACAAACGAACAAACAACAAACACACACATACCCAAACACATGTACATAAATTTATACATTCATACATACATGCATGCACATGCCAAATTTGACAACCATAAAGTAAAGGAATTGGACATATTTCGAAATACTGATCTGACAGCTGCAAACTGTAGTGTTTTATTATAATGAACTCCGAAATAAGACGACACACTTTCAAGTAGTAACATAAAGATTGAGTATTTCGTCAGGAAGATGCGAACTCTTTATTTTGAGTCCCATCACTAAGAAAAATATGTATAATGGTCAGGGCGTCGCTAGAGTTGGGGGGGGGGGTGTAGAGGCCAACGATTACCGACAAAACTAGCCCCCAATTACCGACAAATTAAATGTCCCAATATTCACAAATTTAACCCTATATACCAGGGGGCCGAAGGCTAAATTGTTTTCCCTACGGATTATCTATAGTACTTACGTATGAGCAAATGGTCATTTTCCTCGACGACATAAATATAGGAATTATTTCGTCCACTTAGTCAGCATCATAGCTATATATTTTAATGCAGGCGCGGAGCTAGGACCTCATTTTAGGGAGGGGCTGTAGTGAGCAGGCGAATCACTCAAAGAGCGCGCAAAGCGCGATCATAAGGGGGGGTGTGGGTGATAGGTCTACCGCGCGAAGCGCGAAAGCTTAGATGTTTCCTTAAATTATGAGGAAACGAAGACGATTTATTGTACCGTTCTCGACCCTTCATCTATGTATGAATTCAGTTTCTCCCTCTCTCTCCCGCGCGAAGCGCGGAAGTTTGACATTTCATTAAATTATTGGAGAAAGTAGACGATTTGTTAAACCGTGCTCGACTCTTAATCTTTGCCTTGACGTTTCCTTAAATTATTAGAGAAAGCAGACGATTTGGTGTACTGTTCTCGACCCTTAATTCTCGTCTGAATTCAGTTTCCCCTTCCCGCACGAAGCGCAAAAAGTTTTGACGTTTCATTAAATTATTAAAGAAAGCAGACGATTCGTTGCACCGTTTTCGACTTTTAATAAGCCCTATTTATCTGAATTCAGTTTCCCCCTCTCGCGCGAAGCGCGAAAGCCTTGACGTTTCCTAAAATTATTACAGAAAGCAGACGATTGGGTGTACTGTTCTCGACTCTTAATTCTCGTCTGAATTCAGTTTCCCTTTCTCGCGCGAAGCGCGAAATGCTTAGACGTTTGATTTAATCATTATAGAAAGAAGACGTTTCGTTGCACCGTTTTCGACTCGTAATAAGCCCTATTTATCTGAATTTAGTTTCCCCCTCTCGCGCGAAGCGCGGAAGCCTTGACGTTTCCTTAAATTATTAGATAAAGCAGACGATTTGGTGTACTGTTCTCGACTCTTAATCCTTGTCTGAATTTAGTTTCCCCCTTCCTGCGCGAAGCGCGAAAAGCTTAGACGTTTGATTTAATTATTATAGAAAGGAGACGATTCGTTGCACCGTTTTCACCTTTTATTAAGCCCTATTTATCTGAATTCAATTCATTCAAAATAAACAACAAATTAATTCATTCATATACCTACACAAACATCACCCCCCCCCAAACACACACACACACACACACACTCCGGGGTCGGAGGGACCGCATGCTCGTTTCTAAAATCCCCAGGAAAAGGGTACTTTTCGCGCGACAAAATCCGGCCCGAGAATTGTAAAAAAAGGGGGTGTATTTGACTTTTCACCAGGAGATTTTTTTAAAAAGGTGTTGGTCCTGAGAAATGTAAAAAGGGGGTTATAAAATATATTGAATATTATAGAAAAATTGATCAAATCCCGGGATCAAATTCCTGAAATTCCTGCTAGCTTTGATCGACTAGAGCTCACCAGAACTTGGGGGGGGGGGGGTACATTTAGCAGTGTTCCGGATTTTTTTTTTTTTTTTTTTTTTTTTTTTGGGGGGGGGGGGTCTCCAAGGCAGGAAAAGCCAGCGAAAAGCCGGCGAAAGGGGATTCAGAAATGTTAGCAGTCCTGAGATAGGGGGAGGGGGTGCTTTCAAAGGGAGGGAACGAGCATACGCGTACCCTAAATAACACTGAGTGGGGGGGGGGGAGCTGGGCATCTACTGTACATGATTGCACTTTTTAAGCGGCGCTATGTCTGGGCTATAATAATACCTTGCAAAATAACGAAAAATTATTCTGAAGTTTATGAAGTGCTTGTTCGCGCACGTCGCGCAACTACTCTTAATGATCGTGGCATGCTGTATACGTGTAGGCTATACAGTTATACCAGGGACATGCTATACATACATTAAAAAAAAAACTAATTTCTCATGCATTATGCTGAAATTGAAACAATCACTTTTTTTTTCTTCTTCTCTCTTCCTCTTTTTTCTTTTTTTTTATAATCTCAGGGGGATATTTGTACAGGCCATCCCCCTCCTTCAAGCGAGGGAGGATGCATCCCCCCACCCCCCGGATTTACGCCCCTGGTAATAGGTCCATGCTTGAACATATAACTATACTTGGTCTGCACAATACTTACTCCAGTAGCTGTTGTTGGGATAGCTAAATGACTCTGACCACCTTGCACCGGTTGCAGGACAGTACCAGGATGAATTTCCAGATGGTCTTTTGCATCCCAGCCAGATGGCGTATAGGCCCCAACCGTATGAACGAATAATGAAATCGTCCTCCTCTTCAGACTCGATGACCAACATGGTAGCAGCGTAAAGATCCTGGCATTTGTTGAAATGCCAGGTCCATAATTCTTTGTCCCTAATGTACTTGTAGCACTTGCAACCGAATGCATCCCAGCCTGGCGGGCACGTCCTGTTTGCGTGAGAACCTTTCATGAAGAATGAATCCAAAGAATTCACGATCAATGGCGTATCAGCACGAAGGGGCATGAAAGACACCCGATGCACGAAACAAAGCTTTATGTAAATCATGTTCTAGACAGTAGTTTTTATTTGACCCATAATGTTACCCAAGGCCTAGACATCATAAATGATGTACTTACTGCTTTTTTCATTCTCCTGCATACTCTCTGTACTACTGTCTTATTACGGGTGCGCGTTGGTTATTATTGCTGTAAAATTACATGTCTGTTATCTCTTACAATGTCTTAGTATTTAATAATCAACAATTTGTCGTTTGAATCTTTGTTAGTTTATTAATGTATGTTAAACATAAGTGCTTCGACGTCATTTATATCTTATCATATGATCCACCATAACGTTGATAGCCCGACCCCCCCCCCCCCCACTCAGAGGTCGGAATGACCGCATGCGTGTTGCCAAAATGTCCGGTAAAGGGGTACTTTTCGTGCAACAAAGTCCGGCCCGGGAATTGTAAAAAAAGGGGTGTATTTGACTTTTCACCCGGAGATTTCTTCAAAAAGGGGGTGTGTTTTTCTCTCTCATCTCTTTGGACTCCTGAGAAGTTATTCCGAATTTAGGGGGGTGCATTGAGCATTTTTCCTGATTTAGTGGGGTCTCCAAGGCAGGAAAAGCCCGCGAAAAGCCCGCGAAAGGGGGGTTCGGAAATGTTGGCAGTCCTCAGATAGGGGGTGCTTTCAAAAAGAGGGTACGAGCATATGCGTACCCTCAATAACACTTATTGGGGGGGGGGCGGGGTTGATAGGCCTACTATGTTATCTTTTATTTGCAATGAAAAAGATCAATAAAGCATGAACTAGAAAAAAGTAAATGAATAAATGACTTACACTCTTCATGGGTTGACAAGTTATCCGTTGTCGACATCGTGGTCGTATCTTCCATTCCAATGTCGATGGTGGTCAATGTCATCCCGGACTTCGTTGTCAAAGCAGGCTTTCCAGTGGTGCTTGTGTTTGACGTTATATCGACGGCTGAAAGCAAATCAATAATTTCCGCCGCGAAATGAGAAATGTGTACAATCAAATCAAACTGACTGCACTTAATATACGATATCAGTATAAAAAGTCTGTTAAAATTATTATTCCTGTTTAAAATTTTACATTTTAACGCCCTTCTGGCTCGAAGCAGAGGAACTTATTGTTTAAAAAAATATTGTTAAAATGTTTATAAATTAATTTTAAATTATTTGAAGGAACGTAGGCTGTTTGGAAAGCATCAGGTGGGATATTCTATTATATCGAACGAGTTTGTCAAACGAGCTGTCTCTTTTGATTTTAATGCTGGTTTTCTGAAAGACGTTCCATACATACAAAAAGGGGACACGTGTCAAAATCTCTTACAGTTTCATTTTTAGAGAAAGGTAATAATGTCAATGTGCTCTTTTAACGATCATTATGTCCCAAACCCTTGGTGTTAACATTGTTATTCAAGAAATTATCTCATGACTGATTGCTTGTTAAACTATGAGCAAAAACAATTACATTTGCGGAAAGAGGTTTCTCTGTTACCTGTTTCACACGTAACACCAGTAAAAACAGATGGGCAGAGGCACTTGAAACTGTCCTTAGTCTCCTCACATGAGCCCCCATTTTGGCAAGGGTTGGACAGACAATCTGAGGAAGAAAGTTTGATTTCATGTTTTGTTTTGAACACCTGTCATTCTCAAACTTTTGCTTATAGGATTACTCCGTTAAAATTCACTGTATGTAAACATAGATCTACACATACGTACCAACACACACAGAAACAAATGCACACCTAACATACACACACACGCACATACTAGTGGCTTTTCTATGCGTAGAGCATTCACTATACCTTTCGGGAAAGGACATTAAAGGAAAGCTCTCCCCAAGAAATAACATAAGTTATACTGAGAGATTTATTGTATTATTGCCCAACTAAAAACTGAAATGTTAAATCACCATTTAAAAGGGCCGAGGAGTGACCAGGGGCGTCGCTAGAACTTTTTCAGTGGTGGGGTGTAGAGGCCAACGATTACCGACAAAACTAGCCACCAATTACCGACAAAATTAAATGTCCAATATCTACAAATTTAACCCTATAAACCCGGGGCCGAAGGCTACATTATTTTTCCTATGGACTATCTATAGTACTTGCGCATGCGCAAATGGTCATTTTCCTCGACGACATAAATATATGAATTATTTCGTCGACTTAGTCAGCATCATAGCTATATTTTAATGCAGGCGCGGAAATAGGATCTTATTTTAGGGAGGGGCGGTAGAGAGCAGGCGAAACGCGCTCACTAGGCCTCCCGCGCGAAGCGCGGAAGCTTAAAGGTTACCTTAAATTATTGGGAAAAGAAGACGATTTATTGTACCGTTCTCGACTGTTAATCCTTGTCTCAATGAAGTTCCCCCCTCCCGCGCGAAGCACGAAAGCTTTGACGTTTCATTATATTATTATAAAAAGAAGACGATTTGCTGTACAGTTCTCGACTGTTAATCCTTGTCTGAATTTAGTTTCTCCCCCTCCAGGACAGCGCGGAAGCTTTGACGTTTCATTAAATTATGAGAAAAAAGTAGACAAATCAGTGTACTGTTCTCGACTCTTAATCCTTATCTGAAATCAGTTCTCCCCCTCCTGCGCGAAGCGTGGAAGTTTTGGCGTTTCATTAAATTATTAGAGAAAGTAGACGATTCGTTGAACCGTGCTCGACTCTTAATCCTTTGACATTTCATTAAATTATGAGAAAAAAGCAGACGATTCGATGTACTGTTTTCGACTCTTAATCCTTATCTGAATTCAGTTCTCCCCCTCCCACGCGAACCGCGGACGTTTTGGCGTTTCATTAAATTATTAGAGAAAGTAGACGATTCGTTGAACCGTGCTCGACTCTTAACTCTTGACGTTTCTTTCAATTATTAGAGAAATAAGACGAATTGTTGTACCGTTCTCCACTAGTCTAAATGAAGATTTCCCCTTCCGCGCGAAGCGCGGAATTTTTGGCGTTTCATCACAATATAGAGAAAGGAAGACGATTTGTCGTACCGTTTTCGACTCTTAATAAGCCCTATTTGTCTGAATTCAGTTCCGCCCTCTCGCGCGAAGCCCGGAAGCTTTGACGTTTCCTTAAATTATTAGAGAAAGAAGACGATTCGTTGTACCGTTCTCGACTCGTCTAAATTAAGTTCTCCCCTTCCGCGCAAAGCGCGGAATCTTTGGCGTTTCATCACAATATAGAGAAAGGAAAACGATTCGTCGTACCGTTGTTGACTCTTAAACCTTGTTTGAATTTAGTTTCCCCGAAAATTTTAAACCTCTGATTTCTTTAGCTGATATTATAGGAGAGTGAAACTTCGAGAAAATACAAGTATTGTAGTTGTAGTCACTCTCGAAGTCGTCACAGCGGATAAAAAGTCACAGTTCGTAGGGAAAAAACTTGTCGGCCGACCGACAATATACATCTCACCGACTTCAAACTTCTGCATTGATATTAGTACAAGAGGATCGAGCAAGAATACTTGACATATTTGACCGTGTATTTCTTGCTCCCTCGACGAGACGACCCCACCCAACAACCCCCTTCTCTCTTTTACTCCCACTCCTCTTCTCTCAGGCTCTTACCTCCCCTCTCTCTCCTCTCTTTCACCCCCGTTTCTTTTGTTTCCCTTTTACTCTTTTTTTTTTCCTTTTCTTTCTTTTCTTTTTTTCCCTTTCTTTCCTCCCCTCCCTCTTTTTCTTTTCTTTCTCTCTTTCTTTCCTTTCTTTTCCTTTCTTTCCTTTCTTTTCCTTTCTTTCTTTTATTTTCCTTTTCTTTTTTCATCTTTCCCTTTCCCTCTCTTTTTTTCCCTCCCCCTTTTCTCTTTTTTCCCAACGGCAGCGCAATTTAACCGACAAAATCCTGACAGGTGGGGGTGTCGCACCCCCCACACCCCCCCCCCCCCCTTTGGCGACGCCCCTGGGAGTGACCACTCTTTCGAAATGGTAGATTAACACTTTGAACATGCTGGATCCAACACTATAAAGGTTGAATCTAGCAGGTTAAAAGAAACAATCTGACATTTTGAAAGAGTGGTCACTCCTCGGCCCTTTTAAATTGACATTTAACATTTCAGTTTTTAGAGTGGCATTAACCTACAAGATTCTCCATCGAAGTGTTCGAAAGAGGCATAAAACAAGAAAATGTACAGTTTCTTAGCATGACATGGGCATCGCTATTTTCTTGATAACGTGACGTACTAGTGAAGTCGTGTATCTAATGAATGTATTCAACAAATTATGGATGCTTCCTTCATAGGGGTGTGTGTGGTGATGAGGTATGTCATATACCTGCTATTATCCTTTCTACTATTATTGCGCAAATCGCAAAAATATCTTGGTGCTCTTCTGGGGTGAGGGACTTGCATAAATGAAATACATTTTGTCAATTGCTATTTTTGGTATTTTTCAACAAATGAGTTACAATTATGTTCCCTTGTTATATATTTTTCACCAAATATAAATTTTACCTTCTCAGTTATGATTTTCCCTCATTGAAAAGTTAAGATTTTGTTATTGAATTAAAAAGCCTTTCAACTAAAGCTTGTTACATGCATGATACATGTACCACATCGCCTGGTACGTCATATTTTAATGAAAATAACTGCGCCCATATTATGCTGTAAGGCATATTAGATATTACATCATGCCAAGAATATCTTCATTTATATATCTCTTGTACTCGTCCATAAGGAATATTTCACATCGAAGGGCAAAAATACATCTCATTATTGATTATTCAGAATACAAACTTTTAGTCTTTGGTGTGAGATTTCCTTTAATTTGTTATGCAATGGATTTATACGTCTTCTCTTTCCTATGACTTACGTTTTGCAGCTAAAGTAATTAATTAAGGTTTGGAGAGCATTACACTAATTTTCTCTATTTTCTTTCCTTGCTTTGTGTTGAAAATCTTGCAAGGTGATGCCCATTCCCCAACGCTCTCTTCCATGTCGGCAGTGAATAAGCATGAATAAAGAAGGAAGAATTCAGAATTCATTTTACCTGGAATACGACAAACGAATATTCCCGACACATCCGAAGTGTGTGCTCGGCCTGGACAGGGTGGTATGGACATCGACCTCCGGATCAACTTTGGAATGGTTTGAATCGGTTGACCGTCGTGTGCCTCTCTAACTGGACAGTGTTCCTTGGCGACTTTCTCTCCATTTATACGCTGAAGTTTTCCTTCGCTATAAAGGGAAATTGGTTTCTCACAGGTCTGTGGGTTCGAACTGAGCGATGGTGGAATTCTTGCAACTGTGTGATGACATACGAAAGACAGACATTTCAGTATTTTCCTTACGTCAACCAAAATGTGGTGCTTCATCAGTGGAAAAACTATGTATAAGCGTGAGATAACCTATTCAGGAACTTGAAGGTTCATTTAAAGGTAAAGACCAGTTATGGTCATGCGATTGCATTGCGAAAGAAACGTTGTGGAATCGATTAGAAAAGGTTGATTATATCTAGCATATAAGTATTGATGTGTGCTGCAAGGTTCTGGAATCATCAAAGTGATAAGAAATTTGGCCCAGTCTTCGTAAAGTTACAAGCACTGTACACATAAAGATGTTTATGGGACTATACGCACACGTGCGCGACACGTGCGTTTATCTCTCACAGACCATGTATATAAACTAATTTACCAAATATATCAATTAGTAGGCGGTTTCCCGGCATTTTTTTTTATCATCATGTATTAGTCAAAACATATTCTTTCACGTGATTGGTAATAAGAGCTTCCATTTCATTTTTTAAAATTGGGTTGTTTCCAATACTGGTCTTTACCTTTAAATTTAATTTTTTTCTTCTAAAATAATTCGCAGAAATGAGAAATTTACATGCATTCAGTGATGTAGCTATACACAGAGACAGCAAATGATTTGTTTTGTCTTGTACTTTTTATAATTTGTTTGTTAATGTAATTGTTTGTTTGTGTGGTTTTTTTTCCAAATATATAGATAATTATGTTCCTCTTAGTTTCCGTTTACTATTGTTCGATTTCTGCTTTATGTTAATTCTTGCGTTTTACTCTGATGATTGCAAGACAAAAATCTTTAATAAGTTAGCTCTTTTAAACGCGATTCTCCGATTTTGTAGTACCAATCATCTTTTCAATATATAGATAAAAGTATTTTTTTTTAATGTGTTTATTTATTTATTTATTTATTTATTTATTTATTCACGTATTTATTTGTGTATGTACTATCTATTATTTATCTTATTTATTTTGGGGGTATTTATTGAGTATGATTACAGCGGCTCAGTCAGTTTCCGTTTTTCAAAATGACACGAATTAAGTATTATAGTTCCGAATCTCTGTTTTCCCCTCTTTTTTTTATATATAATTTCAATTAAGTTTTGACTTTGCATTTTAACTTCCAATGAAAATGTGTTGGATCGAGTCAGATCGTGTTCGGAATCTTTTTGTACGATTTTTGTTGTTGTGTGTGTGTGTGTTGTAACCGTTGTTTATTGCTAGATAATATATTGCTAAATATTCAGTTTCACAGAGTGTTTTTAAAATATGAAATAATGAATGTGTCAGAGGTGAGCAATGGAGTTACTTAGAGAGAAGAGGAAGGAGAACAAAGGGAAACGGAAAGAAGAGGGAGAGAATGGAAGGAATTGAGGGTGAAGATGAGAAGTGGGTGATGCTAAGAAGAGAGGAAGAGAGAGAGAGAGAGAGAGATAGAGAAGGGGAAGTGAAAGAGGATAATGGTGTTGTTGTCCACTTCCACATATACCCATTATCAGTTATACCTTGTAGAGAGACCATATAGGGTCGCATTTTTTTATATATTTGTTTTTGTAAAATGAATTTATTGATAAATATATGCTTTTGAACAAATCAAACAATCATACACAATCGATTGAAAATGTGTTGGATCCAGTCAGATCGTGTTCGGATTCTTTTAGTACGAATGATGTTTTCATATTTTGTTTCGTTGTCAAGGAGTCTTCTTTAGGCTGGTAGCACGGTTTGGCAACAATTAGTCATGTGTTAGATACTGCTAATACCAATCATGTTAAAACGTTATATGAATGGATACCAAACAATAGACCAGTTCACGGTTAGCACATTACAGCAATGATGACCCCGAATATCCACAGATCTTCAAAACATTTTAAAATAATCACTCCTACAGCGATGGAGGTGCTATATAAATAGCATTTATTTCCCCTTTTCAAAGAATACTTCCACCTGTGTATCATGAGCGCACGAATAATGATTACATAACTTTCATGAGCACGTATCCAGTATTTCGTCTCGGTGTATTTCAAAATTTGTTCTGCAATGACCTTTATCTTCTCATGCTCAGACTGCAACCGTGAACTGGCATATTAACAAACAGATGAGATTTAGTGATAAAAAGGAAATTAGACATCTCCCTAAAATAACCATGCTTATACTGGAGTCTCGAGTAAACTAAAGGAATACATAATGAAGTTATAGAAAGATGAGAGGATAGTAAACAAATTTACGTATAAAATGTGAAGAGTACTAATTTCATTACAGCCTCGAGAAAAAAGAAAGACAAATTGATGTCAGTGTTTGATTTACATGAAATCTGGAGTATGTGTTACTACACTGCATTTTTAATCATTTCTCTCCAGCGGCGTAGCGAGGGGGAATGTACCTTCCCCCTCCCCTCGAATGACGAAGGAAAAAATGAAAAGAATTATTCAAAAATAGAAATAATAAGAGAGAGAATATGGAAAGGATTATAAACAAACACAAAAGAACAGTTTCAATACCCTACAATACACTTCTTAGTTGAGGGGTGTCAGTAAACATACACTTTAAAAAATGAAGTGCTAAATCACGGGTGCTTGGTACAAATTTGCACCACACGTGCCAAGTGTAGCCCTTGACGTGCATGCAGCGTTTGGGGAGCGATGACGAGCAGAAAAATGAGTGCTGGAAACACGTGCTATTCGAGAAATTGCACCCGAAGTGTGACCCTGCCTGTTTTAGCACTTGAAGAGACACCGGTAGCGCTGGCGCTCCATGCGCAGGCGCACCAGCGTTCCAGGTGCTAAGGCAGTGCTTCACACAAAAGAAATTCAAAGTAATTTAAAATTCAAATGAGATAGGTTGCCACTCGGCTATAAAAGAGCGGGGATCTGAGAAGGTATTCATCTTTTTGGAGAATATAAGGTGGAAGGATATTGTGTACTATTATATGTACAAAGAAAGTGTATTGAATGTGTGTGTATATTCCAGGTGCTAAAACAGTGCTTCACACAAAATAAATTCAGAGTAATTTAAAATTCAAATGAGATAGGTCGCCACTCGCCTATAAAAGAGCGGGGATCGGAGAAGGTATTCTTTTCATTGCCTAATACTTCTGGTTGTGCATGATGATACCATTTCAAACATTCTACATGGCGGCGCCAGCAAGATGAGATCAGAAAGCTGGAGGAGAATGCCACAAACAACTTCTTCTATTTATATTACGGTGGATGACACGTTGGTACTTGGTGCGTGATATAGTGGAGGGAACTAAAATTCATGCGCCATTACATCTACAATAAGTATCAATAAAAACAGGTTTATTGATCTGTTAATGGATTTTCAATCCATGAGATGTGAGTAAGGGATATGTAAAGATTGTAATATTAATTCATATATTTACCGGTTACCATCACAACAGTTGATATCCAAAGTCGATTAAAAAGCTTCATTCTCGGTTGTATCTGCAGAGTTATTGAAGCAAAGAAAAGGGCACGCACGTCAGTTCGACAAATAGGCATATACATGTAAAATTACTCAATGTAGTAGTAGGTGGGGCTATATTTCTTTCCTGATCCATTGCAGGGAAGTCAGTTTACCTGCGTTTAAACTCTTTTAGAAGAAAGCGCCCCTTGAGCAGAGAAATCAAGAGAAATTTTGAACACAAGTTTCTTCCTTATTCAAAAAGCGTGCCTCCATAGATACTTGAACATAGTTTGGCAGGAAAAGTGGGGGCTCTAATCGGATGCAAAACATTTGAAAAATGGGCCTTGCCCCAATTTTCGATGCCATGTGTCGAAAGAGGGAGGGAGGGGTGCCGTCTCCCCCTTTAAAGCCCACTTCGAAATGCTGATTTGAATACACTTAAAGGGGTCTCTCAAATGTACATCATGCCCTTGTTTGTGTGGAAGGGGGAGAAGAGGGAGAAGGCGACGTAGTTTTTCTTTCCCGTCACTTCTTAATTTGCAGATTTTGCTTCTGATTTTGATATGACATTATTGAAAGATCAGTAACACAAAAGATTTGCTAGCGAGCATAGCAAGCAAGCAAATTTTCCCCACATCATGTTTGGAGAATTTTCATGACAAGTTCAATATTTAAAATGCACTTGACTTTTATTCATTTGTATTTTTTTGAGGATATTTGGAAGTGATTTAAATTGATTACATTCGCACTGCGTTCAGATTTTCTTTATAATTGGCATTGCCCCTTCAAATACGCTAATTACAAAAAACATAATTTGCAGACGACTGGCCCTTTATTTCTAGACATCATGACAATTTGTTTGAGACCATTCACACTTTAAATATTTGCTTTCTCAAACACCTAAAGATAAAGTTGAATTCTGGTATCATGTACAATCATACAGGACGTCCATGCAACAAAGGATACCCAGGTTTACGGGTATAATTTCAAATAATTCTTTGATTAATACATAATTATATAGATACGATTGGAAATATAAATTTATCTTTGTTGTCATGTTTATACAAAATATGAAGGAATTATCAAGACTTCACGCATGACTAATTTCAGACAACCCAAAGTGACAGTGTCACAACTCAATTGTCAAAAATAATTGGATGTTTGTTACGTTTGGGTCATTATGCTTTGGAAATGATGTGGAATAAATAATCGTTAAACATACCCATCATTCAAAAGCTCTTATTCTCTTTATTCATGTGAAACCATAAACGCAATGAAACGATTATTCATGAGTGAGCAGGTATCATTATTTGCCAATGGTTATGCACATGCCATCTTCTTTTAGGGGGAAAATGAGGCAGTTGAACAAATGCCATTTTGCCATATCCATTACAAATTGTGTCTGCTCGGTCCCAGTATGACTCCTCCATCGTAAAAATGGTGCCATGCGGAAGATGATATAATGAGGTTTTAAATGAAGTGTATACCCTATGATGAATATTTCCATATCCTTTCTTTCCTTAACTCTTATCATGCCACAGGGCTAATCCCCATTGTGCCAAGCCCCAAATCCCCCCGCGCCAAGTTTATTTTGAGATAATCTGATTAACGCAATGGTTTTATGAACAATAACTGCTATAACCAGTGCGTGCTTGCACACACAAGGCATTAAAGCAATCGCTATCTTGCTTTTACAAAGCACTATAACGCGGTAGCGTGCGTGCAGCCTTATGACAGGCTATGAGTTAAAAAGGTAGACAGAACCGAACGTATACAGTGCGTCCCAGAAAAAACGAAACCGAGAAGTATCGATGTTTTATCATAACTTAATCACAACCATACTTAATGAATGATACATATTTGGAAAGCTTAGAGTCTCTTCTTTCAGTTGATGCTACGCAGATGGTGCATATTTCACACATGAGTGATTAAAAGCAATTTGAAAGAAGGAAACCAAAAAGACATTTGGCGGGCTGTATCTGAATTTCGAAGAAAAATTCACATTTCTAGAAAGTTGAGTTTCTGCCCTTTCATATGACACCTCAATCAGGAAAAATGAGCGAGGAATAACAAAGTTCTGTTTGTTTAAAGTAGCCCTTACATTTTCATAATTTTAACAAACGAATTTGTTTTCACTGGGTGCCTGCCGTAGCAAAAAGCAGATTTGACAAAAGACTTAACTCCGTTTGGTTGACAATCAGCCATGCATGAAGACTCTCGTCTACGGCTGATTGTCAACGAAACGGAGTTAAGTCTTCTGTTAATTTCGTTTATTGATATGGCAGGCAGCCAGTGAAAACGAATTCGTTTAATACGGAAATGCAAGCACTACTTTAAACAAACAGAACTTTGTCATTCCTCGCTCATTTTTCCTGATTGAGGTGTCATATGAAAGGGCAGAAACTCAACTTTCTAGAAATGTGAATTTTACTTCGAAATTTAGATACCGCCCGCCAAATGTCTTTTTGGTTTCCTTCCTTCAAATTGCTTTTAATCACTTATGCGTGAAATATGCATCATCTGAGTAGCATCACATGAAAGACGAGACTCTAAGCTTTCCAAATATGTATCATTCATTAATTATAGTTGTGATTAAGTTATGATAGAACATCGATACTTCTCGGTTTCGTTTTTTCTGGGACGCACTGTATAGTAGTCATTCTCATATTTTGGCAATTGGATTTCTGACACTTCTACTTCAGACTGTCTGAAATCGGTTATGCCAAACTTCTTGATCATGCTTGTGGTGTCATATGAAAAAAGAAAAACGTGTTTTCCAATTATTTGCTAATTATTAAAAAAGGATTTGGAATTCTTGAGTACTTTTAGCAACAAACTTGGGATTCCTTTTTCCAGGGACACTCAGTAGTGTAAAATAAGCCCAACATTAAAGCAATATGAAAAAGCTGCAGATATAATTATGCTTCGGTGTATTGTGTGAGGTTTTGAAATCAAAACATGACAAATAATTGACTAATCTAGTGAAATAATCTAGTGAAAGTCATGTGCACTGCGCACAGAGATGTGTGTTTGCATTGCACACGTGTATAAGCGTTAAATATTGGTCCCATCTTTTCAGCTATTTCATACATATTTCGAATATAAGGCTAAGCGACGAAGAGCAATTCTTTTCAGGGAACATTTAATATGATATTGTTCAAAACTGACATTTACAAAATGAGAGATGTCACCCATTATCTATACCTGAACGATCCCTCCTCTTGGCTGAAGGTTTTCATTTCATAAATCCTTTGCTTGTAGGACTATATCACATTGAGGGTGTTTAAAGTTCTTATAGTAAACAATATGTCATGTAGGTATAATTCATATCCGAGACAACTACAGCGACCAAGCTTAAAACATTCAACCTTTTTTATTATAAAATATTGAAACATTGCATCTTAGAGTCCGCTCAGTTACTTTGATATTTAAAGCTCTGGCGATTTTTAAATAGGCTGTTTACACGTCATACCAGATAACAAAGATTCGCATCACTAAAATCTTTTACTTCTAAAATTGTTGTTTTGTTTTGTAGGGGATGGCACTTTTTACAATTTAAAAAAAAATCACAAATGAATATTTCTAAGCACAATTATATTATGGAATAACAGTGTATTCCTATATACTTGCCATAGTATTTTAAAGAAAATAGCTAAATCCGCAAGTTCAATGGGAAATAATTAAACGTAGGAAGATCCGTATCTTGCGATTTTTTGTCCCGAATTTGTTACCAGAAACAAATATTTCTAAGCACAATTTTATCATGGAATAGCAGTGTAGACCTACTTACTATGATGCAGCCTGCTTCAAACGTGAATGTTGAATTGTATCCTACAGAACTATAACGACGTACTCATGGAGAATAGCATCAAACCTCTGCACTCAATATTCAGTTCCCGTCTGATATAATGCTTTGGTTGAAGTATGTTGAACGACACCGTGACGTGTGCAAATGTTACGAGCGCTATGTTTATGTTCTGTTTTGTTTGGATTTTGTTTTGTTTTTCTTTTTCTTGTTAAGATTGTACTTTGCCATTTCATTGTGTCTAACGCACACCCTAGATATGTACCGTTAATGGTAATAACAATAATAATGATAGTAAAAATAATAACAATATTGATAATAATGATAATAATCATTGTGATCTTCTCCTTCCCTAACTCATACAGCCCCCCCCCCCCCCCTCTCTCTCTCTCTCTCCCCCCTCTCTCAACTTTCTTCATCATCTATACTCATCTCACTCTCCTCTACTCTCTCCTTCCTATCTCTAAAGAGTTTCTCTTTATCTCTCTCTCTCTCTCTTTCTCTCCAACTCCCCCGCACTCCGGGTATGTGTATGTGCGTGGGTGCGTGTGTGTGTGAGAGAGAGAGAGAGAGAGAGAGAAGAGAGAGAGAGAGAGAGAGAGAGAGAGAAAGATACGTAAAAAGCTATCATGGTAAACGAGAGAACAGGTTTTTTTGCTAGTGTTCAATGGACAACACGAAGGCCACGAACACGTATGAATAGGTTTTTAAAAAAAAAAGAGAAAGAAAACAAATGTTGTCCTGCATTGGATCATTTTCAAGCACCAGAAATGCAAAGGTTTCGCTATGATTTTTAAATTAACATTGACGCGTTCATGTATTTTCAAATCATGTTGGCAAAGTATCGAGGCAGAAAATAAATCTTTTGCATGATATATCCTCAACGATATCTTTCGCTACTTGGAAAGCGGATTTCTTGAACAGATCATCGAAACTTCTATTCGTTTGTTTCCTTCTCTTTGTTGAAAAGACATGCAAAACAAATGGTATGGTCTGTGAAACATAATACACTTTGTCAGGCGCGGATCCAGGATTTCTTAGGGGGGGGGGGCCCAAATTTGAAATTATGCAAGTCAAATATTGGGACGTAATAGTGACCATCATTGACGTAACAGAGAGGGGTTCAGGGAGGGGTGATTTACCCCTCCCTTCTCCGCAAAGTGCCGAAGCTCGGACGTTTCATTAAATTATTAGAGAAAGAAGACGATTAGTTGTACCGTTCTCGAAAATAAGCCTCGTCTGAATTCAGTTTCCCCGCTCCCGCAAGCTTTTACGTTTCATTAAATCATTAGAGAAAGAAGAACGATTCGTATTACCATTCTCGACTCTTAAACCTTGTCTAAATTCAGTTCCCCAACCTCCTGCGCGAAGCGCAGAAGCTTTGACATTTCATTGAATTATTAGAGAAACAAGACGATTCGTTGTACCGTTCTCGAAAATAATCCTCGTCTGAATTCAGATTATCCCCCGTCCCGCGCAAAGCGCGGAAGCATTTAGGTTTAGTTAAATCATTAGAGAAAGAAGAAGATTTGTTCTACTGTTCTCGACTCTTAATCCTCGTTTGAATTCAGTCTCCCCTCCCGCGCAAAGCGCGGAAGCTTTTACGTTTCATTTATTCATTACAGAAAGAAGAACGATTCGTATTACCATTCTCGACTCTTAAACCTTGTCTAAATTCAGTTCCCCAACCTCCTGCGCGAAGCGCAGAAGCTTTGACGTTTCATTGAATTATTAGAGAAACGAGACGATTCGTTGTACCGTTCTCGAAAATAATTCTCGTCTGAATTCAGTTCCCCCCTACCGCACATAGCGCGGAAGCTTTGACGTTTCATTAAATTATTAGAGAAAGAAGACGATTCATTGTACCGTTCTCGAAAATAATCCTCGTCTGAATTCAGTTTACCCCCCCCCCCTCCCGCGCGAAGCGCGGAAGCTTTTAGGTTTCAATAAATCATTAGAGAAAGAAGACGATTCGTATTGCCATTCTCGACTCTTAATCCTTGTCTGAATCCAGTTACCCCCCACACCTCCTGCGCGAAGCGAGGAAGCTTTGACGTTTCATTAAATTATTAGAGAAAGAAGACGATTCATTGTACCATTCTCGATTCTTAATCCTTGTCTGAATTTCAAGAAGACGATTCATTGTACCATTCTCGATTCTTAATCCTTGTCTGAATTTCAAAAACGTTTTTTGTCTGCTCCATTTTTTTCCTACGTCCTCTTCCTTTTCTCTCCTCTCTTTTTTGGCCGGCGTTTTTTTGTTTGGGGGCGCCCCCACCGCCCCTATGGCTACGCGCCTGCGGTCAGATGAACATATTTTGATATCTTGTCCGCCCCCCGGAAACTCAGGGGTTTAAGGCAATAAATTACGGTCAGATGAGCATTCAGGGGCCCGCCTTAGGGCCCCTGGTGGGGTCAAGGGTGCGGAAACCCCGGAATCTCAGGGGTTTTAGGCATTTGATTACGGTCAGATGAACATATTTTTATACTTTTTTTGTGACACTGGCAGGACACTGATTGGCGTGAGGTCCAGCGGGCGGAGCCCTCAGAAGCTCAGTTTTTAGGTTTTAGGCATTAAATCGCCGTCAGATTAGCATCCAGGGGTCCGCCTTAGGGTCTTAGGCGGGGTCCAGGGGACAGAGTTTGAGGCTCCTTATCCTCGCCGTTCTGCGGGCCCTGACATGACGGCATCTCAAGAAGCCTATTTCTTGCCTGGCTGTAAATTTAGGAATTTGTCATTTTACAACAAACGCATAAAAAAGTATAATTTACTAATAAATGAGGAAAAATCTTTTCAGCATCATGTGTAAACCACCGTTTTGGAATTAGAAATAAACCACGTTTAAATTGTATTTTCCCCGAGCCCCCTCCCCGATCAGTACGCGAGTGCCCCCCCCCCCCTGATCTCCACTGATTTCTGTTTGCGGAAAAATCGCAACTGATCTCGATCCCCTTACATTATCTTTTTTTTCTTTCCCTTTCTCTCCTCTTTCCCTTTCTCTTCCCTTTCTTCTCTCTCTTTTAGGTTTGCTGGGGGGGGGGGAGGGGGGAGCACATTTTGTTCTTTTTTTGGGGCCCGGAAATTGGAAAAATTACGTCGTCAGATATTTCGTTCTGTGGCTTGGTGGGGAGGAAAAAAAAAAAAGATTTTCCTTTTTTTTTCTTTCCCCCTTCCCCCCTTTTTCCTTCTTTTTTTCCCAGGGGGGGGGGGGGGGGCCTCTGCCCCCCTGGATCCGCCACTGCACTTTGTATAATCTTCGTCTTGTCGTTGTTTATGTCCATATAATATTGAAATAATAAAGGGCATTAGCGGAATTGGAAGAAGATAAGGACAACCAAAGCGAATAGTATTATCATCATGTAACTTCTAAGATAAAAAAAAAAAAAATCAATTTTTTGTTTCCTTGAAGCAAGCTCCATTGAAGTAGACAAAATATAGTAACTCTTCGATATACTGTACAATATTTACACCTTTATGATCTACATTGCTGCAGCAAAACCATGTAGAAAATACTTTTCGAGTGTGATCTGTATGCTTAGCTAAATAGGTGACAATAATATTTATCAGTTGGTGTGTATCGATCAGTGTGTGAATATTATACTGCAAGTTCTGTCTGGATATTGATTGTTCCGAATTAGTTTTGTGTGAAAACGACGGTCTAACATAGTGTAGGATTCCCCAAATCAAAGAGTTTCATAGGCGTAAGTGAATTGTGATGATGTGTACAGCAAATGTGTAAAGGATAGCATAACTGCATTAGAACAGTCTGTTATCCTTAATACTACCTTGGTCCGGTTTAAGTTGGTTTGATGGTGATGATTTCTTTTACCGGACTGCTAAGGAAACAAGTGTTTGCTTGTAAGTATTACCACCCAGGGAACGCTACGGCTTTAAGTCATCGCAAAGGATTTCAGTGACGGGGATTATTGACTTACCAAAAGGGCACTAGCACCCATATTGGTTACGAACCCGGGACCTCCCGGTTACAAGACTGCTCTACCATTGAGCCATCGTTTACTATACCGTGGATTGTAATATACCACATTACATTGTCATATTTGAGCTGTTGAAATGTTGAAGTGAGATGAAACTTCCAGCAAATTGACTATAAACACTTACGGTTATAAATAATTTTTCATATGATTAAATTTCTGAAGATTACAAAATGGCCTGCAATGCTTTGTTGAAATACTTTTAAATGTATGTCCGCTAATGAATACCCGTGCCTTGCAGCCTGGTTAATTGTATCCCTAATGAATAAACCATTGCGCATTAAGTGTTTTTTTTATTTGTCATGATCTTGCATAGGCCACATAGAACCAATGTGATTGAAGAAGATAGCTGTCGAAAATAGTTTATATCAAGTGATGCAAAGGACAAAATGTAATTTTTAATCCTGTTTGTTCTTTCTTGGAATCTGGAATCTAGAATGGTGTGACATGCTGGATGCTGGATACCCGACAAGCACTTCTGAACTCCTGTCCATGGCAACGTTAAATGGATGGCAACTTGATGACTAGAGAATAACCCTTCTAATATCTAATATCACGGAGGAAAACATCCTAGCTCTCTACTAGACACAGGATTCCATTGTTGGTCCAAATGCTGCAAAGTTATCAATTTCCCCCGAGTAGTAGTAGTAGTAGCTGTCTGTCGCGAAGCGACAATGACCGCCTTCATTTTCACTTTACAGCTGTTCTCCATACAGCTCGCTGGCCTGCAGCAGTTGTCCAAGTCTTGATTTCAATTTGCCTCCGCTTAAGGTTCCTCTTAATCGTGTCCTTGTAGCGAAGCCGTGGACGACCAATCCCTCTTTCGCCAGCGGGTAGTTGCGAGAATAATACTTGCTTTGGTAACCTCTCAGATGGCATCCTGATGACATGGCCTGCCCATCGTAGGTTCTTCCTGATGAGCAGGTTCCCCAAGTAACACGTCGGTATCAAAACTGTAAGAAATATCATCACCGAAGACTATCTCCGTGATTCTATGGTGAGGCGTCTTTGGCATCATCCAATGGAAGGCACCAGAAGAG